CCCCAAAACCCCAAAACCCCAAAACCCCTTTAGAGAAGTATTTCATTGAATTCCTTTAATCAAGCCTAAAATGTTTGCTGAACGAGAAAGCCAATGTAAGAGAAATCTAGACCACTTGAAGCCAAATGAGTCCCTGTTTGATTACATGAAATCACTTTTGAACTATAACATCAAGAGTTCTCACCCATGCATCAACACGTACATGCTTAATCGCCAAGGAGTGCCGAAGGGAAGTAATATGAAGATATCCTACGAAGATGCTATTATCAAGAGAGAATTCCTGAATGATCTATTAATGAACACCATCATGCCTGCATTCTGGTTCAACAACCTGTCTCTCAAAGAGAGTCAGGATGCTTCCAGCACCAAGGCTGTCATGATCGACATCAAAGGGAATTTCTCCCTTCGAAGGATGATAGATCACATCAGGAATTACTATGAGTCTTTGGTTAACAAAGCTGCGAGGGAGCATGGAGTGCTCCTCTTTAACCAAAAACAATATGATAGTAAAGACGTTGATATGATAGCTGGTGTCGAAGGTGCCCCTAAGTATATATCCGACTTCGACAACTCTAATGAGGAGATTAAAGAGCAAGATTATAAAGAAGATAAAGCCAATTTCATCCGCAGTTGATTCAAGAATTTGTACTACTTCAGTGTGATGACTCCTGAGGAGTTTGCCGCTGTAGCAAACAGCCTCAATAAGCTCATCAAGGATGACAAGGACATCATCCTTGTCTGTGTTGATGGGCTCCATCATTTTGATCTTAAGAGTTGTAGGGATGAAGACGAACGGCTTGACGAAGACTTTGAGGAGAATGTGCCAGATGCATCAAATTTCTTCTCACAAGAAGATACTGACCACTTTGTGAAATTCAAATCCCAACCTAGAATGGGAGGGAAGAAGTTTACAAATTCAAAGTATTATGAGCGGAATCTTGTCAGCAAAGCTTTAGATCTCATCACGTTCTGGAACCGCCAACAGCTCTATACACTCATCAAGTTGGAATCTGTGGGAAGTTTTAAGAAATCTGATAATCTGCTCAGTGAGATTTCTAAAAATGGGCTCTCTGAGAACTGTGATTTTTACGTCCAAGATAACAATAATGTAAGAAGATTTCAAGGAAATATTGACACTGAGGATGAAGCTATCACTAAGAAATTAAAGACAATGAAGTATAATGAAATCTTAATTCTCAGAGGTGATCGTACGAATTCCTTAAACCCTGACACCAGGTTAGACACTGCTGAAGTAGTTGATACTCGCCATTGTGCAGGATTCCTTCGCTTATTTCCCAAAAAGATGCAGGATTTAAAGAAGGATGAAGTGAGATTTCAGAAGTTCATGAGCTTATTCCTGCTGTATGAGCATCATGACCAGCACTACAAGATATCTGATAACTGTGTTCGTGTATTTGCGTTCTAATTTCAATAAATTTCCTTTATAAATTCTATATTATCACCTAATCTTAAATAAATTTGGTAAATTACAACATAAAATGAGCCGATCGTTCGATGAAGAAGAGCTTGAAAGAGTCGTCAAAATGTTTGACTCAGTGGAATGGGACACACTCCTGTTCACCTTCAAGTTCGATGAAATAGAGTCAAGGATGGCTGATGGAGAGATGAACTGTTTTTACAATTTTTATAAGGATCCTTCTGTCTGATTTACACCATTAGTCATAAATTTTATGAAAGCAGCTCTTAATAGTGATAAACAGCTAGCTAAAGAGTAAGGATAGTGAGTTATGATATAGGACCATCAAGACTACAGAATTATGCATGAACACAATCAAGTCTAGACATTGTTGCTATGACAAGAAAGGCAAGGAAATCACCATCCAATCCTTCTTATCGAAAAAGTGGAAGGTCAAAGACCTTGAAGCTATCAATAAACTTACTATCGAGTTAGACAATGAGACTACTGCTAACTTCTCTGCTAGAGCACTTGCTGTTACTTCAGAACTTCAGGCTCTGATAGCTCTTCTCCAGATGATCTCAGGAAATTATCTTAAAGGTGCATATAACCTGAGGAAGGCTTGGAAGTCATATGAAAACCTTGCTAACTTGAATAAGTTTATTAGTGAAAATGATGCTAACCAGCTAACCATCCTTGAAGATAAAGCTTATATGGTAAGTAAAGTAGCTTTCTTAAACCTAAATCCGAACGTCTTATTAATTATCCATAGAGCCATTTCTTATTGGGATATGGAGCTTTCCATTTCTTCTGATCCCTGGTACCAAAATCATTCCAATGGGTCCTCAAAATCTGAGGCTTCACTGGTGACAGAGACGCAGGCATTAAAGAACTTTACCAGTGACTTAATCTAGGTCAAAGGAGAGCGTCCTTTGCAGGACTAATCCTTCTCTGGATAGAGAGCTTCTTTTATGAAGATTACGTCAAAGGTGAGCAGTTGTTCAATAAACTGGTTGAAGAATATCCTGAAGGCGGCTTGTACTACTACCTTGGTGGGTATCTCTCTCGTGTTCAAGGGAACATTGACCAAGCCTTGGAAAGATTCACCTTAAGCTATGAGAAAAATGATCAATTCTTTGAGATGGAGAATATCTGCAAGTACGAAATTGGGTGGTGACAATACCTCAAAAATGACTATGAGACAGCTAAAGATTTATTCGAAGAATTCTTGGCAAACCACACCAGTAATACTTACAAGGCTTGGTGCCACTGGCAGCTTGGGTACTGCTACTATTTCCTTGACCAGAAGGATGAAGCTATGAGGAACATGGCCATGGTCAAGGATTACAAAAGAAAACATTACTCTTGGGACGAATACTGATATCGCAAGAGTAAGGAGTTCATCAAAGATATTTCTCGAATTGAAATGGAATTACATAAGATTTATAACCTCATAAAATGTCGAAAGCTTAAGCGAGCCGAAAAGTTCCTCCAAATTCTTGAGGAAAGTTATGATGTAGAATCTGACAATGATCATAAAGCTTACTTCCTCTATCTTAAAGCTAAGATCGAGTTTTATAAAGACAACAGAGAGGCTGCTTGGGAGATTTATGAGGAGATCATAGACTTGCCCAAGAAGGAAAAATATCTTTCAGCATTCTCAAAATACCGCTTACTTCTACTAAAAATTAAAGATATGGAGAATTATGGAGACGATTATCATGAAGTTGACCCTGAAGACCTCAAATACGTCAAGAACACTATCAAGAGCATCTCTAAGATGAGTGGATATGATTTTGAAAAGCCTTTAACCCGCAAACTTGAGAGGGTGAAGGACTACTTCAAAGAAGGATATTGTCTTAAATTCTAATAGCGAACGTTTATCTTTCTAATTCAATAAAGATCCCTATCTCTGGGGTTTTGGGGTTTTGGGGTTTTGGGGTTTTGGGG